ATACTTTGCTGCTGTTTGTTGTTTAGTCATCATATTCCGACAGTGAGCTGTAACCCTAGCTTCATCCACAAAGTCTAACTCTTCAGTAAGCATTCTACTATTTTGTTGTTTGCCTTGTTCAAGACTATTCAGTCTTCTCCAGGAGGGTTCTCCAATCTCTACCGGAATCATGGCTTCACATCCATACGTTAATCTGTAAGGGGTTTCCCCAGTTGCAGTTTGGGTCCTCGTTCTGTAACCCCACAGCACAAAGTATAGTTGTTGAACCCATCTTTCTTCTGCATCAAACATTCATTTTTTGAGACCTTCCACAATCACTTTGTTGGCTGCTTCTGCTTGTCCATTCGATCGTGGGTGTTCCATAGATGCGAAGTGATGCGTGACGTGTAGGTCTGTCATTAGCTGTTGAAATCTCTTATCAGCAAACTGTGTTCCATTGTCAGTAACCACCTTAGCTGGGATTCCGAATCTCGAAACAATGTTTCGTTCAAAGAATCTTTGTAGTCGAGCCGAGGTGATCGTGGTGACTGGTTCTGCTTCTATCCACTTTGTGAAATAATCCACAGCCACGATCAGCCACTTAAGTTGCCCTTCAGCAGCTTTGAAAGGTCCTAGTAGGTTCATTCCCCATTTGAAGAAGGGCCATGGAGCCGAGATGCATTTCAACTCTTCAGGTGGTGAAAGAATCAGCTTGGCATGCTTCTGGAAGCTATCACATTCCTTGACGTGTTCTTTGGAGTCTGCCCCCATTGTCGGCCAGTAATAACTAGCTCTTAGTGCCTTTCTGGCCAAGGCTTTGCCTCCCATGTGATGGCCGTTTATTCCTTCATGGATCTCGGCGAGCACATACTGTGCTCCGTCCAAGTTCAAGCATTTTAGCATGGGGTTGTGCAAACCTTTTCTAAATAGTTGGTCATTCACGACTGCATATTGTGTCGCATCTCAGACCAGCTTCCTGGCTTCCAGGTGGTCTTCTGGCAGTATTCCTTTCTCTAGGTAATCTACTAGAGGTTTCCTCCAGTCATTTGCCAAGGTTATCACCATCACGCAACTCGATCTTGCTATGCTTTGCTGAAGCACAGTTCTGTGGTTACCCGGATTCTTGGTGCTGGCTAACTTTGACAATATGTCAGCTCGGCTATTCTCCCCTCGTGGGATGTGAGTAATCCGCACCTCATCGAAGTCGGCCATGATTTCTCGAACCCGACTCAGGTACTTCATTAGCAAAAGACCTTTAGCTTGGTACTTTCCTTCTATCTGCGAAGTTACCAACTGCGAGTCACTGAAGACCTGCACTTTCCTAGCTCCGTGCTCTTTAGCATGCATCAATCCGGCTATTAGAGCTTTATATTCAGCTTGATTATTTGAGGTTGGGAATCCCAAGTTTAGAGAATGTTCAATTGTTACTCCTTCTGGGGTTTCTAATATGATCCCAGCCCCACTTCCTTTATTGTTGAAGGATCCATCTATGTAGACCTTGCATGCACTGCCGGATTTCTCGTTTTCCGAATTTACCGGCGTTAATTCCATTATGAAGTCGTCCAAAGCTTGTGACTTGATTTCTTTCTGACTTTCATAAGCTATGTCGTATTCGCTGAGCTCAATTGCCCAGTTAGTCATTATTCCCGTCAGGTCCGGCTTGGGCAATACCTGCCGGATAGGCTGATTAGTCCTGACGACTATTTGATGACCCTGAAAGTATGGCCGCAATCTCCTGGTCGTGACCAGCAAAGAAAAAGCCATTTTCTTTAGCTTTTGATATCTGATTTCTGCGCCTTGTAAAGCTCTACTGACAAAGTAAATCGGCTCTTGGCCCTCGTTAGTTTCCTTGATCAGTACAACACTTATTGCTTCCTCCCCTACTGCCAGATACAGGATCAGAATATCTCCTGGGTTTGGCTTCGAGAGGATTGGTGGAGTTGCTAAACATTTCTTGACTTTCTTAAACGCGGCTTCACACGCCGGGTTCCATGCGTCAGTTGCTTCCTTCTTTAAAAGTTTAAAGAACGGGAGGGCATTTTCAGCAGACTTCGGAAGAAACCGGGTTAACGCAGCTAATCGACCGGTTAGCTGTTGGACTTTCTTTTTGCTTTAGGGTGCTTTCATATCAAGTACTGCCTTGCATTTGTCAGGGTTCGCTTCTATTCCTCTATGGGTTAGCATGAATCCCAAAAATTTCCCTGCTGCAACCCCAAACGCGCACTTTACCGGGTTGAGGCGGATGCGGTACTTCCTGAGCTTTTGAAATGTTTGTTCGAGATCCTGGACATGATTAATCATATCAAATGACTTTACGATCATATCGTCAATGTTTACTTCTATGTTTTTTCCCACCTGATCTTCGAAGACTTTATTCATCATCCGCTAATAGGTTGCCCCTGAATTTTTGAGTCCAAATGGCATCACATTGTAGCAATAGTTGGCCTTTTCAGCAATGAAGGCCATTTTTCTTGATTCGCCGAGTACATTGGGATCTGGTTGTATCCCGAATAAGCATCCATAAAGGACAACAGACAAAATCCAGCCGAGTTATCTACCAGCTGGTCTATGTTAGGCATAGGATAAGCATCCTTTGGGCAGGCCTTGTTTAAGCCTGTGTAATCAGTACTGATTCTCCATTTCCCATTTGGCTTTTTCACCATCACCACATTGGCAAGCCACGTTGTATACTGTATCTCACGAATAAACCCGGCATCCAAGACCTCTTTGACGTGCTCTTGTAGAACTTGCTTTCTTTCTGATCCCAGTTTCCTTTTCTTCTGGGAAACTAGCGTGGATCCTGGATAAGCTGCCAATTTGTGATAGCAAAAGGCGGGGTCGATGTCAGGGATCTCTGACAACTTCCATGCAAATACATCTGTGTTGCTTTGAAGAAAGTCGGCCAATATTTGCTTAGTTTGGGGGTCTATGGCCTTGCCAATCCGAGTAAACTGGCCGGGGTCTTGCCCGAGTGCCAGGTTTTCTAGCTCGCCGTCGGGTTCTGGCCTCGGCACTACTTCTTCTCTCATGTTGAGTTCCACGACATTGACGGGCTTTGTTGGGATGGTGCTGGATTATGTTCTTTCCTTGCTTGTCCCCTGCATGAACTCGAGATGGACCTGTATGCCCATCCTCATTTTTCTTGACAATGTCGAAGTAGCACCCCCTAGATTCTTTTTTATCTCCACAAACAGTAATTATTTCGCCTTTACTGCTTAGCATCTTTATCTTTTGGTGCTTCGTGGAAACTAGCATGTCCCACAGGTGTATAGTTGGCCTGCCACGAATTATATTATATTCTGATGAGAAATCGGCCACTATGAACCTTACCCGTTCTGATTTGAACGCTTCTTTGGTTCCCAAGGTCAACCTGAGATCTACATAGCCTTTAGGGGGCGTATGTTCCCCATTAAAGGCTATCAAAGTAGTTTTGCAAGGTTTGAGGTCCTCCTCATCAAGGTTCATCTTTTTGAAAGCGTCCCATAGGATGATGTCGGCACTACTCCCTGCATCAACAAAAATTTTCTTAACCCGGCAGTTTACCAGAGTACCAGCTATAACAAGTCCATCAACATGCCCGGGTAACACGCCATGCATGTCCTCCTTTGTGAAATAAAGCAAAGGGGGATCTGGCTTGCTTGAATCCTCCTTGAATCTGGGGCGGTCCCGAATTGAAAGGTCCTTCTTCAAGTACTTTCGTCTTGCACTTATGGTGTCTCCACCTCCTCCAAGGGCTCCACTGATTACATTGCAATCAAATTCCGCTTCTGGGAACTCGTCAAAGGTGGGATCACCTTCGCGATCTCGTTCATCCTTGTTCTTCTTTTGAGGAACCGGGCTTCTACTTCTCTTTCTATTTCCCGCCTTTCTTTTGTTGATTTTGGACCCTTGGGTTTTGATCACGTATTGACGCAACCGTCCATTTCTTACAAATTTCTCCACAGCATCTCGGAGATCCCAGCATTGGTCAGTTGTATGTCCCAGTCCATCATGGAAAGCACAATATTTGGACTTATTCAAACCTCCTCTGTCAAATATGGGTCGAGGTCTGTCCACCTTCTTCATCTCCGTTATGGCTACTTCTCTCCAGATTTGAGAACGCGAAGCATTAAGAGGTATGTATTTATCATATCTCCCAACCCGATCCCTCATGTCTGGGATTCTTGGGCGAAGATCTTTCTTCTTACTGTCAATTCGTTCTTTTCCCTTTGGGGCTGGGCTCCTCCTTCTTGGGCTTATCCTTTTGCCTCATCAGATTGCGCATTTGCAATCTCCATTTGCTCTAGTTCGAGATATTTCTTCAACGAGTTCTGAATTCCTCCAGCTTCCTCACTGGGTCCTTATAGACCGACTTGGCAAGCCTGGATGCACCATCCAGACCCGCCACAATGAGGTGTACGTGGACATTCTCTTGCAACCCTGGGACCTGCAATGCAGCATCCTTGAACCGGTTAAGGTATTTTTGGAGGGTTTCTCCGGGTTGCTGACGTATCTTTCCGAGAGCGAACTCAGATTTCGGATGTTTCTTACTTGTTGCAAAGTTCAGGAGGAATTTCTGTCTGAATTCCTCGAAGGATCCAATAGAATTAGCAGAAAGGGTTGAAAACCATGCCTGTGCTGCCCCAGTTAGGGTTATAACAAATATTCGGGATATGAGAGGTTCATCAATTCCTCGAATGTACATATCTGTGTCGAAAACATCTATATGCACCTGTGGATCCTGGCTCCCGTCATACTTTGGCAGACGTGCCGAATCAAAATCCTCCGGGAAGACAGCGTTTAGTATTTCACCAGTAAAGGGGCTATTGTTGTACTGCCCCCTGCTGTACTTCAACCTATACCCGCCGGGTTCTACCTGACCTCGGATATCTTGAGCATTCTGCGCAGGATGAGTTCTAACTCGGTCCTCCTAACCGTCAGCTTGCGTCTGATGGTTTTGAGCATTTTGGCCATTAGCAGCCTGGTTTCCCTGGTTCTGGTTCACAGTATTCACGGGGTTGGGTCTTTCATGATTTTCTGTATGAGGAACCCGGTTTGGCTGAATTACGTTCCGAGCTCCTTCTCGGCCATTGGCAGGTTGGCCTTCCACGTCGGCTGTTCCTGGTCCAGCCAGCCTTCAGCGCTGCTCCAGGTCTTGCATCCCCCTGTTATTCTCCTCCCGTATAGCCCTGAAATCCTGCTGGCGTTGCAAGTTATTGTGGGTCTCCAGTTCTGCAATTCGTTCCATGATTGCGGCGAATGCATTATTGGCCAACCGAGTATCTGGATCAGCCGATTGGGCAATACTCGCAACAAGATCTCCTGGATGCTGGGAAGGGTTGTTTCTGATTAGAGCCACGTTCGCCTCCACCTCTCTACCTCGACGCGCTGGAGTAGATGCGGTGTCTGAGACGTCGTCCTCGACCTGGACGTGATCGTAATCCACGTTGTCTCCGATCTGGTTCTGAGGCTGGTTTACCTCCTCCAGGGCTGGATCCAACGGTTGATTCTGGTTTGGGGGTGGCTGCTGACTACTGCTCCTCGTCTGGATTGCCATCCCTTATCAGATCGGTGGGAACTTCAAATTCAGAGATGAAATCCCCACAGACGGTGCCAATGTTCTTTCCTTGAGACAGAGATGTCTAGCCCAATAGGCTAGTATGTTGATATTGAATCTAGTGCCCTCTCCAAGGTATCTATGAAGGAGATACCCTTGAGTCAAGCAGATCACTGTGCACAAAATACTATAACGGCGTTAGCCAATAGGGTGTGTGTGTGCGCACAGTGACAGCATAACAGTAAGAGAGAGAGAGAGCGTACGTACCTTTAGGGTTTACCTTTGTATTTATAGAGGTTACTTGTAGGTAGTGTAGATGGGCCTTTGGTTCCTCTGGTGAGGGTCCAGAACTGATAGCTATGCTGTCGTAGTAGGATTAGTATCCTTAATGGATATCTATCCTTTATTAGCATCAATCCGTATCTTGGATTGCCCCTTGTTGGGCCTGCTACTTAATGAGCCCATTATACGGATCCATAACAGGCACGCAAAACGAATCTCTATAACATAACTCAATCACTTTTCCTACAACATAACTTTTATAAAACCCATATATATATATATGGGAGAAGTTATACTTACTACCTCTTTTTCTTACTATCTTTTACTACCAAATCTTAACCGTTGATTTTTTTATCAATTTAACGATTATAATTTATTGAAAATTAATAATTAATTAATAAGTATGACCCGATAAATTACAACCGTTAGATTGATGAAAATCAACGATTAAAATTTAGTAATAAAAAGTAGTAAGAAAAAGAGATAGTAAGTATAATCTCCCCCTATATATATATTCTTCTATTTTCCGTGATACTTAAGTTTATATATGGGAAAAATGTTTTTTCAGTTACTGCAGATAAGTTATCTGCATTTTTTCTCAAAACGACGTTGTTTTGGTTTTGAAATCTTAAAAAATTATAAACATAATGAGTATTATAATTCTGAAATAAATTAAAATTGCAAAAACACCATGAGCCCAAAACGACGTCGTATTGGGTCGTTTTGGGCTCATGGTGTTTTTGCAATTTTAATTTATTTCAGAATTATAATACTCATTATGTTTATAAAACGACGTCGTATTGGACTTACTGCAGATAACTTATCTGCAGTAACTGTAGAAAAAACGAACCCTTATATATTTATAAATTAATAAAAATTTGCATTCTGACTAGTATCGTTACAAGCATTACATTTTGCGTTATCTTTTTTACTAACAATCATGCTCATTCCATAAAATAGTATAAAATAGAAACACTATTTGCCATTCCAAAAACATTAGTCTTTTTTTACTTTTCCTTTTCTTTCTCTACATAAAAAGCAATCCTTTTATGTTAGAAAAAAAAAAGCAATCCTTTTATACACATAGTAAACTCGAGTTTTCTTTATCCTGTTTAAAAGGCAATAGGCAACTCATAGGTCAAAAGTTGAAGAATTTTTTATTTTTCCATTTTAGAAATATAAAAATTATCCTAAAAGGTCAAGTAAAAATCATTTTACTTAATTTCATTCCGTGCAAATCCATTTAGCAATCGATGTTTTTGAGAGAGATAATTTTATTTTTTATAGACACATAAAAATATATGGATCTTATATTTTACACATACATAAAAAAATTTCTTACATATATAAAAGAGAGATGAGTCTCGTTTTTTTTTTCTCTCTTTTTTTTTTTTTTTGGAGTTACCCAACCCTAATTATCTCTTTGAGACGAGTTGGCTCCCTCTGTATTCCCACGAGCTTCGACTCTTTGAGCCGGCTATGGGACTAATCCGGAGTGCGGGGAACAGTGATGGCTAAAGGTTCAGCCCCCTCCCCAAGAATGCATTCAGCGGGAATCGAACACATATCCAATCCCACTAACTCAGCGCCAAGTTACCAACTGAGCTGCACCCATTGGGTCTCTCTTCTCTTATCTATATGTTTCATTTATAATTTTATTTTTATAATATCATATAGGATTTATTTTTTCTAAAGTTATTTTAAATAATTTTATCTAATGTTCATCGAAACGAAGTTATTTTGAACAGAAATCTTAGTATTTTTGTAATTTTAATTTATTTCAGGGTTATATTAGTCTTTATCATTCTAATTTTTAACTTTTCAACCTCAAAATGACGTCATTTCGATTAACATTAGACAAAGTCATCTAAAGTAACGTTAGATATTTTTTTTCCTATTATATAACCATTTTTCTACGTCATAACAAAATTATTTTCCTTTTAAATCCCAAGATTTGCATTTTATATTTATGGTTACAGTTAAGACGCTAATCCCTCATCATAAAAGAAGAAGAAACCGCGTTTGACCTTCGTAAATCTCGTCCACCATGAGATTCACCCACAACTCTGCATTCTCAAATTTCAATAGATGCTACCAATCATACCCTCAACCCCCACACCAAACCTAAAGCCGCACACAAACCATCATCACTTCATAACCTGATAACCCTCTCTCATGCTGGACCCATTCATTCATTCACAGACAATATCCAGTTCATAACACACCCCATTTGTTTGGCACCTTTCAACAACCTCCCATCAAAGCTGAAATTGTAGGTCCAAGGACACAAACACAAACACAACCACAACACCTTTTCCCCCAATCACTCAATAAAGACTCAAACTTTGGGCATTTGGGGGTTTTGGATCCAATGGCAGAGATAGTGAAGCAACTCTTAGCAAAGCCGATCCAGTTAGCAGACCAAGTGACAAAAGCATCCGAGGAAGCCAGTTCCTCGTTCAAGCAAGAGTGCTTAGAACTCAAATCCAAAACCGAGAAACTCGCGGGGCTTCTCCGACAAGCCGCAAGAGCAAGCTCCGACCTCTACGAGCGCCCGACACGGCGCATCATCGCCGACACCGAACAGGTCCTCGACAAGGCCCTGTCTTTGGTTCTCAAATGCCGCGCCAACGGCCTCATGAAGCGCGTGTTCAGCATCATCCCCACCGCAGCCTTTCGCAAGATGTCATCTCAGCTCGAGAATTCCATCGGCGACGTGTCCTGGCTCCTCCGTGTGTCGGCTCCGGCGGAGGATCGCGACGACGAGTATCTTGGTCTTCCCCCAATCGCCGCTAATGAACCGATTTTGTACCTTATTTGGGAGCAGATTGCGATCCTCCACACGGGTTCTCTCGATGACCGTTCCGACGCGGCGGCTTCGCTGGTGTCGCTGGCGAGGGACAACGACCGGTACGGGAAGTTGATCATAGAGGAAGGTGGGGTTGGACCCTTGTTGAAGTTGATCAAGGAGGGTAAGAAAGAGGGTCAAGAGAATGCTGCAAGGGCAATTGGACTTTTAGGACGCGACCCTGAGAGCGTGGAGCAAATGCTCCATGCTGGTGTTTGCTCTGTGTTTGCGAAAATCCTCAAAGAAGGTCCTATGAAAGTGCAAGCTGTTGTTGCTTGGGCTGTTTCGGAGCTAGCAGCTAAGTACCCTAAGTGCCAAGATTTATTTTCTCAGCATAATATAATTCGATTGCTTGTGAGTCATCTTGCTTTTGAAACTGTTCAAGAGCATAGTAAATATGCAATTGTTAGCAACAAACCCACATCAATCCATGCGGTTGTGCTGGCGAGTAATAACTCTAATAATGCCAATAATGTGAAAATGGAGAATGAAGATGACGAAAAGCACACACAAATTCGGATACCTCATCCCTTGGGTGATAGGTCCCAAAATCAGATGTACAAAGTTGTGGCAAGTACCATGGCTGTGCATGCTGCCACCAAGCAGCAACCGAATCAAGGCAATGAAGCAAGTCAGAACATGAAGGGAAGCAATGGAGTTGGTAATAATGGTAAGCAAGGTCATCAACTGAACCAGCAAAGCTATTCTTATTCTGGAATTAACATGAAAGGAAGGGAACTTGAAGACCCTGAGAATAAGGCTACTATGAAAGCAATGGCGGCCAGAGCCCTCCGGCACCTAGCCAAGGGTAACTCGCCAATTTGTCGTAGCATCACGGAATCAAGGGCTATGCTGTGCTTTGCTATTCTCCTTGAGAAAGGAACTGAAGATGTGAAGTACAATTCCGCTTTGGCTGTGAAGGAGATTACAGCAGTGGCAGAGAAAGATGCAGAATTGAGAAGATCTGCATTCAAGCCCAACTCTCCTGCTTGCAAAGCAGTTGTTGATCAAGTGCTTAACATCATCGAGAAAGAAGATACAAATCTCCTGATTCCTTGCATCAAGGCTATTGGGAGTTTGGCCAGGACATTCCGAGCAACAGAGACAAGAATAATTGGTCCCTTGGTGCGCCTTCTTGACGAGAGAGAGGCAGAAGTATCAAGGGAGGCAGCAATCTCCCTCACAAAATTTGCCTGCAAGGAAAACTACCTCCACCTTGATCACTCAAAGGCAATTGTAACCGCAGGTGGTGCAAAACACTTGGTTCAGCTTGTATATCTTGGAGAACAACAAGTTCAGATTGCAGCATTGGTTCTGCTCTCTTACATTGCACTGCATGTGCCAGACAGTGAAGAACTTGCTCGGGCTGAGGTACTTGGAGTGCTTGAATGGGCATCCAAGCAACCTAACATGACACAGGATGAAACCCTCGAGGCACTGTTGCAAGAATCCAAGAGCAGGCTGGAGCTTTACCAGTCTAGAGGTTCAAGGGGATTCCAAAAATTACATCAATAGGAAGAGTGATTCATTGTTGTCGTTGTAAGGTTTTTCAATCATTCGTATCTGTGGTCTATTGTTCTCCTGAGTGTATATACAATCAAATGCCTTCTTCAATTGTTCAGATGCATTTTCAAATATTATTTTAGAGAATTGTTTGCTTATTCCATTTGTTCCAACTTTCCTTTCCTTTCCTTCCTATCCAACTGATCCCCTGGCATAATGTAGCACCCCATACGCAAATGTCAACAATAGCAATACTTTGTTATCGTGCTTCTGTAAATATCCTCCCAATTGCTTGTGAGCTAGCTTTTATATGAAAAGTATATGCTTTCAGTTCTTTCTTTAGTAGGAAACCAAGAATATCGCAGGAATTGATAAATAAGCTCAACTCAGAGTAAGGTGCAAGAGCAACAAACTATAGCAGATCATCAAAAGGCAGTCAAAAACACATGGCCAATGGTATAAGTCAATCTGTGGCAAAACTTAACAGATTGAAGGGAAACATTTCGTTTTTATACTTGTAGTTGAATTATATAACACTAAATTAAACGTGGTAAAGGTTGAATTCTATACTCATTTAGAAATCGAAAAAGTAAAATATAATGCTGAATCCCCCCCCCCCCCCCCCCCCACCCCCTCTGTGAGTTAGTCTGCTACAAAACGCTGCTTCCATTTCTATTTTTAACAGCGTCTAAAATATAAACTTTATTAGATGTAAATTAGATTTTAATGACAAAGAACTTATTTAGTCTATTGACTTATAAACTGAGGATGATATATGCATGCTAAGATATTCCAACTCTCTTTATTTACAAAGAATATAGATGAACAAAACATGGTGGCCGAATGCATAGTTAAGTCTAATGCTTTCCTGGCAACCAATCACAACTGATAATTTTCCAAAGCTTAGTTGAATTGTCAGTCCAATTTGTATAACTCCATTAGAAAATGACAAAAAAACAAAATTTGGAAGCGTCTCTGCTTCAGTGATGTTCCTCCAGTCAAGTCAATGGCACGGGACCAATCACAGAAAATGATTATCATTTTTGCCATGCTTATAGTAATTTTTACCAGTCAAATTATATAAATATTACATATATTTATAGGAAAATGATTGTCTCTTGTTACATAAAAAATTTCTTTTCTCATGTACAGCCATCGAACCTTAGGCTTTGTTTTTTGTTTTTTAAAACTTGTGGGGTCCGTTTATATGTCTAGGTAGGAAAAAATATATATCATCTATCACATAAGAAAATGCAATCCCATATTTATATATATGGGGCAGTATAAACATATATCGGTGTAAGGAGAACATGGTTATAAATGATAGCCGTAGATAACTTTATTTAAAATGGCTGTAGAAATATTTACCCCATATATATACGGGGGTAAGATTTTTTGACATCGGTGTCAAACTTAGAAGTTTGACATTAAATCTTAACGTTGATTTTTGTCAATTGACGATTATATTTTATTGGAAATTATTAATTAATTAATAAGTTTTACCTAATAAATTATAACCGTCAAATCAACTATTAGGATTTGCCAGTGTCAAACCATCTTGCCCCGTGTGTGTATATATATATATACACAGACTTATCATTTCTCAAGCTGTTTGAGATAATTTTATCTCCGACTACTAAATCATAACCGTACAAAGATAGATCAATGGTAATAAAGGAAAAGAGAGAAAAAAGAAATCATAACCATTCAAAGGTGAATCAATTAATATAAGGAAATAAATAAACAAAACGATGTAGTTTGGGGTGGCCGGAGATAAACTTATCTCAAGTTGCCTATATATATATGTGTGTGTGTGTGTGTGTTCGCTTTTTCTATAGTCAATGTAAATAACTTATCTACATTGAGCCCTAAACAATGTCGTTTTGAGGCAGAAATCAAGGTATTTTTGTAATTATAATTTATTTAAGGGTTATAATGGTCTTTTTTATTATAATTTTTTAACTCAAAACGACTTAGTTTTTGGAGCGAATGTAGATAACTTATTTATATTCACCGTAGAAACATTAAAGCCTATATATATGTGTGTGTGTGTTAAAATCATTTCTGCAGCCGCTTTACGTTCAGCAACGACATGTGTATGGTTATGATTAGGGGTGAAAGTGGGCTGGGCCGACCTACAGGGACCTACGGCCTAGCCTATATCAGGCCGGACTTGGCCTATTACATATACTCAAATAGAACAAGTCTTGGCTTTTAAAGAAGCCTATTTAGAAAGTAGATTATAGGCTTTTTTTTTACATGTCGGGCCTATAAGTCTACAGGTCGGCCTATATCATATTATTTATTTTAAATTAAATTAAATGATATTATTCATAGTAGTACCAAATGACGATAGTTCTATTGGTGCATGTGAGCTAAGTAGATGGTGAAAGGACCTAGGTTTGTTCCCTCACCAATACTATTTTTGAGAGTTGCATAAGATCTGTACCAATTTCTACAGTACCATAAAAATCAACATTTTTGATGCCTATAGTTCTAGCTTGACTGAAGCTACCATCCAAGTGTTAATATACGATGGAGATTGTGAAAGTGACTTAAATGCATATTGATATGAGTTTTGTTGTGATTCATGGTTTTGTTTGGACGTTAAAATTGTGATTTTTGTTTTAGCAACATAATTTGAGTATTTTGTGAAAATGATTCATGGTTCTGCTTGGAAGTTAAAAATTAATAGGCTAATGGGTCAAGCCAGGTCATTTGTTTTTTTTATAAACGGGCCAAACTAGGTTAACAGTTAGACTCGTACTAGGCTCGAGCCAGGTCAAATTGAAATTTTTTGTCATAGGTTTGGGCTTTTCGAGGCAAAACTCGGCCCAACCCAGCTCACTTTCACCCCTAGTTATGATTCTCTACATTTAATGCTTTCATCTTTTGTATGGTTATGATTCTCCGCATTTAATACTTTCAAGTATATATATGGCAAATATTTGATTGCTACACGTACAACAGCCGCAGAAATATAAACCCATATATATATATATATGTGAGGTAGGATCCTTTGACACCTCATCGCAGAGCCGTTAGATCAAAAAGATCAACGACTCTAATTTGTAAGCATGTGACACCATTGATCTTTTTTGATCTAACGGCTCTCAGATGAGGTGTCAAATTTCAAATTTGACACCGGTGTCAAAGGATCCTACCTTTATATATAGAGAGAGAGGTAGGATCCTTTGACACCGGTGTCAAATTTGAAGTTTGACACCTGAGAGCCGTTGGATCAAAAAAGATCAACGATTTTGATTTGTAAGCATATAGTACCATTGTTCTTTTTTTATCCAACGACTCTCAGATGAGGTGTCAAACTTCAAATTTGACACGGGTGTCAAAGGATCCTACCTCTCTCTCTCTCTCTCTATATATATATATATATATATATATATATATATATATATATATATATATATATATATATATATATATAGGGTAAAGTGTGTGTCATTTTAAAGGATGTAAAGTTATGTCATTTTAAGAGAGAGAAAGAGATAGATAAAAGAGGAGAGAGAGTTGACAAAAAAAACTAAAGTGTGGATCCCACCTTTTTGTGAGACTCAAAGGATATAAGTTATGTCATTTAAAAGCATAAATATTTTTCCCATATATATATATATATATAACTGTTGATAAATTACTATCGTCTAGAAAAACGGGTAATCAATACCACAAACATCGCGGAATTGGGGCAAAATATACACCAAAAGGAATGCATAACGTGCTTAAAAAGACTCTCTGAATAGACAAGGAACTAATTGTTGTACACTACAGAAGCTACAAAGCCTACAACCAATTTTAAGAAACTCACCACTAACAGATATAAGGACAAACGCTAAGAAAGTGAAATGGTATATCTTTCATGACAAGAAAAACCATTAAGATACCACAGGGAAACAATTCGATCAAAAAAAGATAAGTCCTACAGTCCGAATTCGTAAAGGAAAAAAGTCATCAAGTAGGAAATAGAGCTCTAAGTGAGAGGTTTCCATGAGAAATTTTTTAGTTTGGTATTTTTTTTCCGCGTCTAAAACTAATTACTCATTCAAAGTCCCCTACGACAACAAGAAGTCTTATCCCACTAAGTGGTTCGAAGACTTAGATCAATCAACGGCATATTACTCTATCAAAAACCAAAATTTCACTAAAGATGAAGGTCATTTTTATTTTCCACTCTCCTAACAAAAATAAAAACCTTTCCATTATCCAACTCCAATTTCACAATTCCCTTTATTTTCACCTAATCAATCATTTTCCTAGCCTAAAGTTCCACTCACCTAATTGATGGCCTACATGTATCGCATTCATTTCCTTGCATTCTGTTGATTAGCAACAGAACCACAAAACCGCTGGAGAGACGATCAGACAGAAAAATCAAAATCAAAATCATATTCTAAATCGAGAAACGTTCCACGCACCTGAGATCTGAATCCAACGGGGATAAAAAAATCATTGGATTCCATTTTGACAAGAATAACATTCTGCTGAATTCCTCGCATCCACATTTGATGTCCGATTCTATTCTCATGCAATTTATAATAAAAAAAAAATTGAAATAAAGTAAAACTATTTCTTTTTTTAACAGCAAACAAGCAAATTAAAAAAGGAAAAAGAAACATTGGGAACAGAAAAATAGGACGATTTTGTGGTGTAATAGAGGTGGAGTTTGTCCAAAGCGATTTCCTTACATATTCCCCCAGAATAGAAAGTGGGTTTCTACTTTCTACTTGTTCGTTCAAACTTTCAAGCTTCAGCGCCATGGTTATTAATGTTCCGAGTATTATATTCTTCTTTTCCGGCTGAGATTTTATATTCCTATAGCTAAACTTTTTGAAAATACATTATGTCCATGTTATTTAATATGATTATATTATGTAAGAGAGTTATTAAAAAAATAAATCAACGGTCACGATTTTATAACTTTTTATTCAAATATATTTTCTCTCTTTTCTCTTATCATTATTGATTCATCCTGTATAGTTAAGATCTTTCCACTTGACATTATCATATTAAATAACACATCAAAGAATCTGCTAATTGCATCGAGAAAATTCTAACTAAACAGACATAAAAAATGGGTTTTAGATAACGAATATGAATAATATATACACTAGAAGTTATATGCAGATTTTTAGTATAGTTCTTTGCCAATATGTTGAGATATATAGTCCCACATTGGTTGTATATGCAACTAATGTGGAGTTTATAAGGTCTTGGCCAC